ACTCTCGAAGGAGTTCTCGACAACGCCGATCAGGCCCCTGGTAAGAAACTGTCCGAGAACCTGAAGACCTACCGTGATCAGGCATTGATGAGTCGGCAACTCGTGCGTCTCAATCAGGAACTTCCAATTGAATTGAGTTGGGATGACTGTCGTGTTTCTACACCAGATCATGCAAGACTACATGAATTGTTCAAGGACTTCGGTTTCCGCAGATATGCTAACGAAATGGAAACCGAACTCGCTCAAGGCCAAATTCAAGAAGCAGGGGAACAGGCACGCGAATGGACCAAAGTCGATGATGAGGAAAAGTTCACACAGTTTCTTTCTGAGTTGAATTTGCAGCGCAAGTTCTGTGTCGATCTCGAAACGACCAGCGTTGATCCGCTGCAAGCGGACATCGTTGGCTGGGCATTCTGTTGGGAAAGTGGGCGGTCTTTCTATTTGCCGGTAGATGGCCCCTCAGGCACAAACGTTCTCGATCCACAATTTGTCTTGGAGTCGCTGAAGCCGATACTGGAAGATGAGAACCGGGAGATCGTCAACCAAAACATTAAATACGACATGCTGGTCTTGCGTAAAGCAGGAGTGCAACTGGTAAGTCTCGGTCTTGATACCATGGTCGGAGATTACCTGCTCGATGCCGGGGCGCGGACGCATAAGCTCGATGAGATTTCCAAAAAATACCTCCATCGCAAAATGATTCCCATTAGCGATTTGATCGGGAAGGGGAAGAAGCAACTCAAAATGTTTGAGGTCGATGTTGATGACGCTGCCGAATACGCAAGTGAAGATGCCGATGTCTGTTGGCAGTTAGTTGAAGTCATCGAACAGCAACTCCAGAGCGAAGGACTTTGGGAACTGTACTGGGACCTGGAGCGGCCATTGATTCATGTCCTGGCTGAAATGGAATGGAATGGGATACGGGTCGATGTCGAGGAATTAAAGGCACAGAGCGCTGCCCTCGCAGAACGGCTGACTCAACTCATTGCAGAGATCCATGACGAGGCAGGTTCAGTTTTTAATATTGATTCTCCGAAGCAACTCTCAAAGGTTCTCTTCGAAGATTTGAAGTTACCAATCATCAAGCGGACTAAGACAGGAATCAGCACAGACCAGGAAGTTTTGGAGAAACTGGCTGTCGATCATCCACTCCCAGCGAAAATTATTGAGCACCGTCAACTTTCCAAATTAAAAGGAACATATCTCGACGCTCTCCCGAACCTGGTGAATCCTTTCACAGGAAGAGTCCACACATCGTTCAGCCAGACCACTGCAGCCACGGGACGACTCAGCTCCAGCGATCCCAACTTGCAGAATATCCCTGTTCGGACTGCCGAAGGACGCAGGATTCGAAAAGCATTCATCCCTTCTCAAGAAGACTGGAGTCTGATCTGCCTCGATTATTCACAGATTGAACTGCGGATGCTGGCCCATTTTTCTGGGGATGCGGAAATGGCGAAAGCCTTTCGCGAAGGAGTTGATATTCATACTGCCGTCGCTGCGCAAGTTTATGCTGTTGAGCCAGATCAGGTTGACAGCGACCAAAGACGTGTCGCGAAAGCAGTCAACTTTGGTGTCATCTATGGACAATCCCCCTACGGCCTTGCGGCTGCTTTGGGAATTCCGAAGGAAGAGGCCGCCCAGTTTATCGATGATTACTTCACGAAATACGAGTCCGTGCAGGTCTTCATGGATGAGACATTAGACGAAGTAAAGGAATCAGGCTATGCGACAACGATTTCAGGTCGCAGGCGTGAGATTTCTGGGATTCGAGGTAAGCGTTGGGGTAATCTGAATCTTCCGGAAAGAACCGCTGTGAATACGGTGATACAGGGATCGGCTGCTGATTTGATCAAGCAGGCGATGTTGAACGTTCACGCAAGAATGCAGAAGGAAGAACAACCAGGCCGGATGTTGTTGCAAATCCACGACGAACTTGTTTTCGAAGCTCCAGAGGATTCGGTCACTGCGCTCGTTCAGTTAGCAACCGAAGAAATGGAGTCAGCATTGGAGCTAGCAGTTCCAGTTGTCGTTGACTGTAAGATTGGCAAGAACTGGCTGGAAGCTGAATAGAAAAGAACCTGTACATCTCGTACTTCGCAGCGGCTATTCGTCAGCGGATCGTTCTTTTTCAAGTACAACGCGATTTCCCTTTTCGTTGTATTCGATATGAGACATGAAAGCCTTCATCAGCATTAAGCCTCGTCCGCTAGGCTTATCAATATTACTGTCATCCGTTGGATCAGGCACAGATTCGGGATTAAATCCAGGACCCTCGTCTTCGATCACGACGCGAACTCGTTTCCCATCGTAATCGCATTGCACGAATACATTTTTGGAGGGGTCCATCCCGTTTCCGTGTTTGATAGCGTTGACGATTCCTTCTTCCAGGGCCAGTTTGACTCCAAAGAGATCTTTATCTGGAAACCCAACCTCTTCCAGGCTAGCTAAAATCTTCTCCTGCACCGAGTGACCTTCTGCCGTGTCACTCGGGATCGTTACGTCAAACTCAAAGGTTTCAGACATGAACGGTCGGTCAGCTTTATAAGAGGAGGTCTGACGAAAGATAAGTGCTGTGCTACGTATTACGCTATTGCAATTTGCTTAGTCCCAGAATGTATCAGGACACACACAAACGCAGAGTCAAAGCCGAACGACTTAAAACCCTTCCATCGCAGCGTCTTGATCGTCGCGGATATCAAACAGTTTGTTCAGGCGAGTAATTGCGAAGACCTCATAAATATCTGGTCGGATCGAGCAAAGACGCAATTTCCCGCCAGCTGATTTCACCTTCTTGTCCATTGTGATTAGCTTACCGAGTGCTGCACTGGACAAGTATTCGACAGCAGTGAAATCCAGGATGATTTTCTTGCGACCGTCTTCTTCGACGAGACCAAACAACTGGTTTCCAATCATCTGGATATTGTTCTCATCCAGAATCTTCTTGTCTACGAATTTTGCGACGGTGATGTCACCAATTTGTTCAATGTCGAGTCGGCGTTGTCCTGCGGACATAATCAAATCCCTGCAATTTTGCTGAATTCACCAATAAACAGTCAGAAGCTTTGTTTATGGGTGAATCGTGACGACGAGATAGGCTATTTTAGATAGTGATGTGTTTTATTACATCTCTCAACCAATAATCATGATTTGATGATCATGGCTGATCGATGCGTTGTCAAGCGTGTTCGCTGACTTCCTATGCTTGTTTTTTAGGAACAGGCATCTGAAAATATTGTGACCGGACTTCATCAGGTAAGCAAGCAACACCAATCTCCAGGAAACATTTTTATGAACCTTGCGAGTAACCAACCTCGAGACTGGCCTCTGTCCCGATTGATATCGTTCGGGACCATGTTGCTGACATTTTCAATCATCATTTTGATTCTTATCGTTGCCGTCTTACTGAATGTTTTTCAACCAGATTTGGGTGATCAACCGCTATTGCTCCCTTTGCTGGGGGCGGTGCTGGTTGCAGGCAGTCTGATGGCAACGCTCGGATTGGTTGCCGGAGTGATTGACTTGACTCAATCCAAAGATCAACGTGGAATCAGCGTAGTCGCTGTTGTGGTCAATGGTGGGGCGGCACTATTTGTGTTTAGTGTCATCGTCATTGGGCTAATGCGTCAGTAAATCAGGTAAGAAAACTGCTCTATGACGAATAATCCGAAATGGTTCTCGGTCAGACTAAAAGTTATTTCGTAATGACAATGCAGTCCTTGCAGTTAGAAAGTTAAGAAAAATGATTAGAGATTCTCTATTTGCAGCGATGTTCACTTGCCTGGTCTCCGCAACGGTCTTAGCTGAAGCTCCAATCAGTGTCAGTAAAGTGGCCCCGCTTGACGATCTTACCCTGGAAGTGAACGAGCAGATTGAGTTGCTAGCCAAAGAACTCGCCGATGCCGATAGTTATGACGACAAAAAAGGGGGCAAGATTCGTCAATCGTTCGGTTTATTAGCATGTCTCGGACAAGCCCTGGCTGAGCATGAGGCAGCCAAAGAGACGGAGATTCAGGGAGCGCATCTGCGAGATGCTGCACTCAAGTTCGGTAAGAAGAGTACCCATCAGGAGGCTGTCTCTGCTTTTGAACAAGTCAAACTCGCTGCTTCTGGCAAAGCAACCGGAGATGCTTCAGCTGAACATCCTTGGAACAAACTGGTCAATATGCACCCCATGATGGAAGAGATCAACTCACGTAACAGTGCACTGCTCAAAGTTCTACGTCGTCCGCGTGGCAAGGCAGAAGAGCCGATGCATGCGACAACTTGGGTGGTCTTAGGCCTGGCCATGAAAGCCGACACTCACGAAGTCAAGAATGATGCCGATCTCCCGAAATGGCACGAACAATCGGATGCATTCATTGAAGCCTCAGTCAAACTCGCTGAGGCGATTCGGGCAAAGGACAAAACTGAAGGACGGAAATGGTTTGATGCAGCGAACAACGCTTGCGATGCCTGTCACGAAGTTTTTCAGTAAGCGATGTTCATAGCTCTCCTTGCAATGCGTCTGGGATCAATGTTCAGGCAGACTGACTTCGACAACCAATATGGCCAGCACAAATTTTCGGTACCAATCGTCTCGTTCAACGAAAGTTTCATTTGCATCAAATCTCCAGGTTGCTAGACTTCCGACATTAGGGGGAGGTTTTTTTGGCGGAGGATAATTCTCTGGCTAATTACACTCAACCTGACTGACCTCCTTGGCGATAAGATCAAGATATGGGCCGACTAAGCTGACAATACGGAGCACAGGAGAGGTGGCAGAGCGGCCGAATGCACCGGTCTTGAAAACCGGCGTGGGGAAACTCACCGGGGGTTCGAATCCCCCCCTCTCCGCTCTTTCTTTTTTGGGGTCAAACGCCCGAAGCTGCGAACTGGGCGAAAGTTGTGTTCTTTAGAATTTCCCATTTTTCAGTGCAAATTGATGCAGACTGATGCAAAGCGATGGGAGTAGTCGGGCACCAATAATGGCACTTCTCGGCACCATAGTGGGCACCTTTTCAGGACGAAACTTTGCCCGATCCGGTCTGAGAAACCGGTGCATTCAGAGAGGGAACAGCGGGAAGATTGGCCAGCGCGGAAGCCTGATCGCTGACGGTCAAAGAGGTGTAGACATTCATCGTCAGGTCGATCGTTGAATGCCGGGCTAATGCCTGCGCAGTTTTCGGATTGACGCCCGACTTCACCATGTTGGTGATAAATGTGTGCCGCAGTGCATGGAAGTCTGCGTATAGTCCATTCTCATCAACATACGGAATGCCAGCCGATTTCAGATCACGTTTCAGCATCTTGCCACCATATTTTCTCTTTGCCCAGTTTCCGGACCAGACAGATTTGCGTTTCTGCTTTTCGGACAACCAGGGCCGGAGCATCACAACTAGACTCGGATGCAGCGGCAACACATCCTGGCGGCGATGCTTGGAATAGGCAGCCAAAACAGTGACAGTTGGCGGTTGAGCATCCAACTGAAAACTCTCCGGATTCAGACTGGCCAACTCATTGGCTCGAAGACCTGTGTAAGCCGCCGTGGCGTATAGCATCGCTCGATCAGCCCCCGACATCTTGAACTCGACTTGTCCATTCATGGCAGCCTGAATGAGTAACCGAAGCTCTGTTTCCGTCAAGGGCCTGCGATCGTGACGACGATCAGTACGCACATTCAGCATCGCCACAAACGCAATCGGATCTTCCGCAGAACGTCGATCTTTCACCATCCAGCGAGTGAACTGTTTGATCGCTCTCAGGTAATGGTTGCTGGTCTGAGTACTGATGCCGCCATCGCGAAACGTTGCCAGAAGTGATTCCACCTTACTGGAAGTAATGTCATTTACAGATTTCGCTTTACATCCTTCGATAATCCGATTTGTCCGATAGTAGACCACTTTGATTTGCCCTTCACTGACACCTTTGGCTTTCAAGTGTTTTTTTTAAATCCGCAAGATGCTCTCCAATCGGTCGTTGCCGATGCTCATCAAACTGATCAACAATGCCTGCCTTACGATACTCCACTTTCTTAACGATCTCGTTGAGCATCGCCTGCGCCGCTTTCTTATCAGCTGCCAACGGAACACGCTTCTCGCTTCCGTTTTCATCTTTGTAGCGACCCCACCACTTCTTGGATTTCGCCTTTGTCCGCTCCCCAGTATTTGGGTCGGTGATGGTAATCGGCTTTTTATACAGACTCGCCACAAATTCTCCTTTTGAAAGACCGGTGAATTGGTTGGCCCATCAGGGCTCATGACTCGCCTGAAGATCAAGGCACATTTGCTGGCATTTTCGATTCCCAAACGGAACGATTGGGACAGCCAGCTTGTACCCAAGCTTCCAGTTCCGCTTTCCGCCAGAGAGTTGAGCGTCCGATGCGAATTGGACGTGGAATCAGACCTGCCGTATCCCAGCTGCGCCAGGTCCGAATGGATTTCCCACACATGGACGCAGCGAGACGTGCAGGTATTAGGAGTGATTCGGTTTGTGGATAACTTTCAACTGTCAAAGCATTCATACGGAGTTTGCGTTAAAGTGAGATGGAAAAACGCCGAACGATCTCCAGGCCGTCCGGCGCAGCGAGTTAAGAGTTCAAGTCGGAACTTACACTTTCCGCATTCGTTCCATGAGTTTTTTTCTTGAGTCCTCAAGCTCAGCCGAACGCTTCTGAACCTTAGTCAACTCACGTTCGAGCTTGCGATGCTGCACATCAAGAGACTTGGCCTCCGCCAACAGTTCATTTTGACGCGAACGCAAGTTTGTCCTGGAACTCTCCTGGCGGCACGACTCAGCGTCTCTGCGCAACTCACGAATATCTCCGTCGAGTTTCCGCTGACGCTCATGTTCACGGTGCTCTTCCTCGCCGAGCTGTTCCAGCTCAGTCAACAATTCTTCGTCATTGCAGGTTTGGAATAACTGCTGTTCGGCTTGCAGACCTAGTTTGATCGCATGGTTGATATCGTACAGTCGATTGTAGAACGGTGCAGTCTGTTCATGGTGACGCTGTTTCGCTGCTTCGAGTTCTTGATCAACCTCAGCGATTTTTTGCTCGTTCTCGGCTTTCCGCTGATGAAGTTCGGGCAGAGCGTCGTACTGTTTCCGCAGTTCTCGACGTTCTATCAACAACTTGACATCATCCTGCAGGTCTTCGACCGTTTTATCATTAGCCAGCAAGATATCGCGAATGTGTTCTGCGTCCGGTTCGCCACCATCCGCGATGGCGACCACGATTGATTTATAGTCGCTGTAGCAGGCCTGATTGTAATTGCCGGTGACCTGAGAGAGTCGTTCGAGAATATTCTTAAAACTCATAGATGATTTCCTTTGAAATGAGAGAGACGATCTTGCTCCCAGCGAGCCAGATCATTCAGATACAGATTGAAGAAGTCGTCGGGATACGGTTCCCGAAGATCACGCAGAGATCGTTTGGCGAAGCGAGCAGGTTCATCCCCCAGAAGACGCTGGTACCTCAGCGCTGAAGAGAGTCCGTACCTGGAACCAGCACAAAACGCTGCGGTCATGACGGATTCGCCGAGATTCTCGGCGCGCCAGGTGAGATGCAGAAAGAGACGAATGAAAGAGAGACCGTGCCCGTCCCAGGGATGAGGCGGTTCAGGATCCTTCGCAATGTCATGCGCCAACAGGAGAACCTCGAATTTGACTTGTTCAGGAATCGGGTTTTCCCATTCCGTGAATAACTCCGACTGTAATAAGACATGCGTCAGTTCATGCAGCGCGATGCCGAACAGATCCTCAGTAAAATAGCTGTCGCCTAGGTTAGATAGGTTCAGTTCATCGTTGATGACGATGCATGGACCACGGCCTCGCCATGCGGTTCCGATCTCATCCTTGAGCAGCAAGTCGAGTGTTCCGGTCGTGAACCCGAAACAGCCGCGTGAGCCGCCCAATTTCGCCGTCAGTCGCGACGATGGCAGTAAGTAGAGTGGAACATCGCCCAGTTCGATTGCGGCGACACGGCGGCACATGTCGCGTGCTTGGATGAATAATGATTCCACTCGGGAATCGGTCATAAGCATTCCTTTCAGTCTCAGGAAACAGGGAGAAAGTAGTCCTCGTCAACGTGACGTGACCGGGTGAAAGAAGGTGAAACAAGATATATTCAGAACCGAGACGGAAGAGCATCGAGGTTCCTGGAGGCTGCGATTCTGGCAGGGTCCCATTTGGGTCAGTGACCAGGATCCTCAAGATTAGACAGAAAATCAGCCGCATCGTTTTCACCATTTTGGATGGCAGCTTCAATTCGCTTCAGCCAGCGCCATTCCCAGAGGGGGACCATGGCGACTTCCGCCTTGCCGTAGCGTGTGACAATGACAGGCTCACTCGTATGAACCACATTCATGTAAGCCATGCCAAGAAAGTCTCGCAGATGGCTGATTGTGACTTGAGGGGAAGATTCGCCGGGTGGTGCTCGTTCGTTTGAATCGCAATTCTCAGTTGGGATAGTCTCGTCATCCTCAGTAAAAATAATTTCATTGAGTTCGAGCAATTCTAAATCCATAGAGAAATCCTGTTTTGTACAACAAAGAAAGTCTGCCTATGACTGCGACGGTTCCTATAGCTAAGTGGAAACGATTTTGGCCCGGGAGGAACCATTGGCCTCAGGGAGATGTCTCAGCCGTCTCAGATTCTGCATGTTCCCCGAATCGACTTTGGCGATAGCTTTCCAGGTTCTCTGGAAGAACCCACGTCAACTCATCTTCGCAGACATCAACACAAAGCCGTCCCTGGATCGCCAACAGAAACAGATGCCAGCTGAATTTCGCCTCCTGGAGTTGATCGATTAGGAATCGACCTTCATCCTCAGTCATGCCATGCTCGCTTCGCAATGTCAGTAGATTGAGAATCAGTTGCCGACAATCCTCATCAATTTCGAAATCAGATTGTGAATTCATCAATGTTCCTTTGTAAAAAAGAGTGAATGGAAGCGAGTGGACACCTCTGCTCAAACAAGTGGACACACAGATCAGGTTGGCGCGGAGGCGTTTTATCGCCTCGCGCCTATCTGGGGGTTAGGGGGGTGTATGCACAGACAGAGGTTTCGGGAGTCAAAATGAACTTAAGTCAATATTGAGCATCAGGTTGCAACGTGGACACTAAGTGGGTACCTGGTGTCCATCAAAGTGGACACTGTGTTCACACAGTTTTCATTGTATTTATCGACGAGTTTCTCATGGTTACGAGTCGTCTGCGGACCTTGTTGACGAGGGTGTGCGAGGCACCCGTTCTTGTTGCCGCTTCGCGGTTTGAAATCTCTGGTTCAACCAACAGAAGTTCACGGATCCTCTCCGTTTTTGTTGGTGGTTCTCCTAATGGTTCAGTCGAATATTCGACAGGTTGATTCCTGGCTGACTTGGCTTGATAGACCAGTCCTCGATTCACCGCAGATTTCAGAAATCGAAGTGTTTTCCGTTCTGAGATGCCTGACTCGTCTGCAGCCATAACAATGTCGACCTGCTGCTGAGGCACATGCGTTATGAATGTCTCCACAAATTTCTTCACCGTCCAGCGTGGTGAATTCAACCGTGTTTCTCCAGAGTTGTCGTTCTGCTCCCGCTTGTGCGGTCGAATTACTTTGAGGTTTGCCGGATCAAGCGAATCATCCGGCGCCCAGATCGGAAATGACCAGCGGAGCACATGTGGCTCGATCGGAGGCCAAGAGCGAACGGCAGCTTCCATGACAACACAAGCAGGCTCAGCATGCGCGCGAAGAATCATATGCGAGTCGGTCGCTCGGCTCATTGCTCCTGCGCCAGCGCCGACATCCGTGACGCTCTTGTTGACCTGACTCCCTTTGCTACTGTGATGCACGCAGACAAAACTTGTTTGCAGTTGCTCAGCGTACCTATCAATTGTGTTGAACACCTGCGCCATTTGAGCGTTGTTGTTCTCATCAGTTCCTGGCGGCAACATGCGATACAATGCATCCAAAATGACCACCTTGAACTGTCCTGACCGGAATTGATCGAAGTAGGTCTGCATACCATTCAGGTCGGTCAATCGACCACGTAATGACTGTACTGAGACGCCGTTCGCTAATTTCGGTATGGCGATTCCACGCGCCAGAGAGACCTTGTCCAGTCGTTCACGGATCGTGTGCGGATGTTTGACATGCAATTTGGCGCCTGCCAACGGTTCGCAGGCGAATTTCAGGGATCGCAGGACTGGTCCCGCCTCATCCAGCAAGGCGAACTCACTGCGTCTGACAATATCAGAGAGATCTTCGCGAACTGCACGTGGTAACGCTGCCAGACTCGATATTCCAATGGGATCGAAGAACCATTTCTGAGTTTTTCCTAGCTTGAGACGGTAATTGCTTGATCAATTCGAACTGAATTTGAATCGATCATGTTCAAATCCTCCGAGTTGCTGAACTCACACAAAAGCAAGAGCCAAACCGACAGTCGAGTGATGGTCTTCAGGCCGCCATAGAATTCCATGGACGAGAAGTTCGTGCGCGTGAGCGTTACTTAAGAAGCGAATTGAGTCATACGAGTCCAGAAATTCCACACTTTATACGCAGGTTAGAATTGGCATGACTCACCTGAATGTGCATTTCAGATTCAGCAATTCGGCAGACGACTATGAGCTAGAAACATCGCCAGATGCTCACGCAATTCCCCAACATGACGCCACATTGGCAGCGTGCGCCAGTCTGAATAGGTGTTGGAAAGGGACATCTTGGATACCGTTTATTTAGATTGTGAAACTGTATCACAAACCCTTTGGTGGTCAAGAGTTCATGTGTCAATTCCCTCCCCGTCGAACTGTTAAGGTCAACCATTTCGAACGGATTTGCAAAAATAACCAGTGTTTCGACGCCCGCTGCAAAGTCTGCGCCGCCAGGAATTACGTCGGTGCACGGTTGATTGAAACACCCAACCCCCTACTGAAAACTGATTCAACGATTTTTTAATTCGCGGACCTGATTCCGATTGGAATTCCAAACCTCAAATCAGGCTCAGCGAACGGAAAAGCTGAATCGACCTGTTGATTTGAACACCTAAGCTGGTCCCGGTTGGCGCACATCATTTGTTGTTGAGCCCTTCATAAGACCTGGTACAACTTTTTAAGGCATCCCACAAGTTGGTTAAGGTCGCGTTCAGCGAATCTCCAATCTGATGGTGTTGGCGATCTGGTTTGAGGAGTTGCTGAGGCAGGGCGTCGTGAAAGATCAAACCGAATTGGCAATTCTGGTGCATGTCTCACAGCCACGAATGACGCAGATCATGAATATGCTGCTGTTGTCACCCGAGATTCAGAGAGAGTTGTTGTTCTTGCCGAGAGTGACTGGTAAGGATGTGGTCACGGAGAAAATGCTAAGGCCGTTTGTGGCAGAGGTAGAGTGGGGCGAGCAAAAACACATATGGAGCAAATTGCTCTTTAGCCTTTGAATCTGCTCTGATTTGGAGGATCGGAGTTGATAACGCAATAATCGATTTTCCGTTATGTCATTGGAATCACCCCTCCAGCATGGACTACTCGGCTCTTGCAATTTTTTAATGAGCTACAGGTTTTGCAGCCTCCTTATTTATCTCAAGTTGGGAGGCTCATCATCTAACAGTTCGTGAACCTGGTGAACTTTCTTGATTGAATCGGCGAATTCTTGAAATTCTTTCTTGGCAATATCAACATCTTCTTCACTTCCCTGGCCAATTATTCTCAGCAACTCTGCATGTGTCTGTTTTGATCTCGCGAACTCGAAATGAGCATTTTGTTTTGCGGTAACTTCACAAGCTTTTTTGATAATTTTCAGAGCCTGTTTCGTCTTTCCAATTTCTTGATACAATAATGCGACTTCCCGAAGTGTTTCGGGAGAATCGACCGTATTGTTGGTGAAGAGGATACACCATTTCGCGAAGTGCGAAGCTCTTTTGAGAATCTTCGTTGATTCAACAGAATCAGTCTGAGTGAGTGCTTTAGCGTGCTCTCGCAATATGCGGAGGTAAAGTGGGAAAGTTGATGTAGTGATGTGGTTCACTACAAGGTTGGCTTTCATTAATTCATATGCTCGTTCAATCGCGGTAAGAGCCTGTTCGGTTCGTCCATGAGCCAAGTGCCAGCGTGCTTCGGCTTGTAGTTTTATGTTCGTGGCCTGGATGTTGTCAGGGATTGGTTTTAGAACGGAGTTCATTTTCTCATAATCAAACCTCCCATTGGAAACGATGGAAACGAGTTGAATAAAATCGTAAGCCGTGTTGTAATCGCCATACCGAACACTTACGAAGAATTCTTCCAAAGCGCCCTGCAATGCATTC